GGGCCGTGGAGCCGAGAGCTGCCCGCCCGCAGCGCTGGGCTGCGGTGGGACCCCCGCGGGCGGCCGGCTCCCCTTGTCTGCTCCTGCACCTCCAGCCCTTGGACCATCCCCAAGGCAAGGACTCGCCGCCACCGCTAGGGACGACAGGATGCTTAGAAGAAAGCTGCAAGCCGCAGGCACTGATGGCGCGTGTTTAATCCTTCAGAGCTACTAAAATATTTATAGGTGAAGTAACATGAAGTCGGAACGTGCTTCTGAGAATTGGAGGTGGGGGTTGGGGATGAAACAGGTGGCCCCTGAGCTGCTGCGTCCTGGAGACAGTTAGGGGAGGGTCAAACCACACCTTCCACTTTTTGTGGTCTGGCAACTTTCATATTTAAAAGCTTAAAAACGGAAGTAGGGAGGGCCTGTCTGCCAGGCTTTGTTTTAAAGTGGGTTTTTGAGCTCCAGAGAGAGGATGCAGAGGGGCGTGGCCAGCCAGGTGGGCCCTGCAGAGCAGGAAGGGTGCTGCCCAGGGGCTCTCCCCCCCCCGCCCCCCCTCCTTCCGGCCCAGTGGGCGCACCCTGCAGAAATGCCCTCCTCTGCGCCATTCTCCCCGCCTTTCCTCCAGGACCCTGGGCGGTCCCCTTCTGTAACAGGACTGCCTCCCTGAACCCCAAGTTGGGGAGGGGGTGTTGTCTCAACTCCCAGAGAAAGTTGTATGCGGGCCTGACTCCAGGGCAGGCGGGAGCAGTGCCTGGCTCTAGAAGGACTTTTCCAGGTCTGGCCAGCGCGTCTTATAGAAAACTATGGTGCGGAGCTACTTTGGGACTGTTCAGGGCCTCTGCCCTTGGGCTGGGTCATTACCCAGAGGACACTTGCCCTGCCCTCCTGCTGTGGCTGAGCAATGCTTTCCGGCCTGGGGAGGCTGCCCTGGCCACAAGGGTTGCTGGCTGAAAGAGGCTGGCAGGCGCACTGCAGGGAGAGAAGCCTCCGCTGGCCCCCTGTGCCCCCTCCTCCTGCCCCAGAGCTGTGGGTCCCAGAGGGATGTGGCAGCTTGGGCCTCAGGCTTGGAGGGAGCAGCTTCAGCTGAGCTCAGCAGGCATCAGCTGACCCCTGGCTCCATGCAGACCTGTGGCGAGAAGTGGGGTGTTCTGTCACACTGCATGGGTGTAGCCAGCTAAGCCCTTGGTGGTGAAGGAGCCCCAGCCCTGCATGACTCAGCATTGAGTGAGCGCTCTGGTCAGAGACCACTGACCCTTCACCTCTGTCCCCCCGCATCCAGGTCACAGCTGTGGAGACTGAGGCCTGGAGAGCCCATGACACGGGGGCAGAGGAGGGCATTTCTGCAGGGTGCACCCACTGGGCCGGAAGGAGGGGGGGCAGAGGGGGGGGAGAGCCCCTGGGCAGCACCCTTCCTCACGAGCTGTGGGACCCTGAGCATTTGGAGTGAACCCCGAGGCCCCAGCGGGGAGGGTGCCACTGGCGCGAGAGCCGCTTTGGGCTGCGGCCAGCGGTCAGCTCCATGCGGGGGCCTCTGTCCCTGGGGCCTGAAGCCCCAGCTCCCCCCAGGCCGCGGGAAGCCCTCACCTCTGGATTCAACCTCAGGCCCCAGAAGGCTCTGGCTTCATCCTCTCCCTCAAGCGGAGCTGACTTGTTTCGGGGGCATAAAAACGAAGCCAAGTAAGCCGATGGCCAAACCGCGGGCGGGAGCCGCCAGCCGTCGGCGCTGCCTCTCGCCAGCCCCGGCCCAGGCAGGCAGCCCAGCCGTGGCCCTGGGCTCGGCCTGCCTCTGTCCGGCTGGGCCCAAGCAGTGGGCTGTTCGTCTCTCGCCACAGAGCCCGCGTGGGGACGGGATCGGAGCGGGGCGTGGGCCGCACGTGTCCGGCAGAGCTTCTGTCCACACAGACGGGAGAACACCAGTCCCTCTCCCAAGGGCCTGGACTTTCTGTGGGCAGAAAGATCGCAGAATCCGTCCAGGACTCGGGGCGCACTTTCCCGAGCAACCAGGTGTCGGAGATGGATTGTAGTTGAGCATGGTTTCGGGAACCCACCCTGGGGCTCCGGAGGGAGCGCTGGTGAGGCTAGACAGACCCCTCTGTGCGCGG